ACTTGTGGGCATGGCAGGGGCACTTTCTTTTTGCCTTGCAAGGAGTTCTCTGGCTGTTCTTTAAGGGGCTGGGGGCAATGAACCTGGAGAATCATCTTCATGTTTATCTTGGGCTGAAGAGTCGTCAGCTGTTCAGTTATCCTCTCTGCTTATTGATCTATATGATGCCTGTCTGGTGCCTATGCATTGCTTGCATTCTCTGGGTTGATTATGCATTTGACTCTGATGGAGATCCCATTATTTGTTTTTCTGCAGGAGATTAAGTAAATGTCTAGAGCTGGAATAATGGAGAGGGCAATGAAGGTGAGGCAGCAATAGAGAGTTGAGATTCTGTTTTGCATCTTTCTTGCTTGCTACAATGCACTTGGCATAAGGGGATTTATTTCTGTCTTCTGTATTCTGTCCCATTGGTTTATGTGCCTCTTTTATGCCAGTGCCATGCTGTTTTGATTATTACAGCTTTGTAGCACATTTTGAAGTCAGATCTTATGATGCCTCCAGCTTTATTTTTGTTTAGGATTGCTTTGGCTATTTGAGGTCTTCTGTAGTTTCATACAAATTTTAGGATAGTTTTTTCTGTATCTGTAAAGAATGTCATTGGTATTTTGATAGGAATCACATTGAATCTGTAGATCACTTTTAGTAGTATGGTCATTTTGACAACATTAATTCTTCTAATCCATCCATATGGAACATATTTCCATTGTTTTGTAGGTCCTCTTCAATTTTTTCATCAGTGTTTTGCAGTTTTCATTGTAGAGATCTTTCACCTGCTTAAGTTTATTCTTAGATATTTGTTTTGTAGCTGTTGTAAATGGGATTGCTTTCTTGATTTCTTTTTTAGCTAGTTTGTTCCTGGTATACAGAATGGCTACTGATTTATGCATGCTGATTTTGTATCCTGCAACTTTACTGAATTCATTCATCAGTTCTTTTTTTTTTTTTTTTTTTTTTTTTTTTTTTTTTTTTTCTGAATCAGCATCTTTCTCTGTCACCCAGGCTGGAGTTGGAGTACAATGGCTCAATCTTGGCTCACTGCACCCTCCATCCTCCAGGTTCAGATGATTCTTGTGCCTCGGCCTCCCCAAGTAGCTGAGACTACAGGTTCGTGCTACCACGTCTGGCTAATTTTTTATATTTTTAGTAGAGACAAGGTTTTGCCATGTTGCCAGCTGGTCTTGAACTCCTGACCTTAAGTGATCTGCCCGCCTCAGCCTCCCAAAGTGTTGGATTACAGGCATGAGCCACAACTCCTCACCTCATTTATCAGTTCTAAGAGGTTTTTAGGTGGATTCTTTAGGTTTTTCTATGTAAATGTTGTCTGCAAACTGGGACAATTTGACATCCTCTTTTCCAGGTTTGATGCTCTTTATTTCTTTCTCTTGTTTGATTGCTCTGGCTAGGACTTCCGGTACTATATTCATTAAGAGCCGACTATAGTGAACTATAATCTTTTCTTTAAGTTTAGCATTTCCACTCCATCTCTGGGACTTAGCACATGTTCACCAAAGGAAAAAAAAAAAACCCAGTCACATCTTGTAGCCTGTAAGATATGACACCTTGGCCTTCAGCTAGAGGATAAATTGAACCTTTCCCAAGTCAACTAACCCCCAGGGCACATCTCATGTGAATTCCTCCATTGAACTGTCAGCATTTTTGGTCACCTCGAATCCTCTGCCGTGAGTTTCTCTCCTGCCTTCAGAGGAGTCTCTTGGTTCCTTTGTCTATGAGAATTCATAAAGTAGTGCCTCAACTCTGCCGCTGCTGTGAGCACTCGTGGTGGGATGCTGATGTTCATGGCAAGGGCTCTGTCTCCTAGGGCTGCTGAAGCTGCCAAATCTTGAAGTGCTCCCGTTTTGCCCCTGCACTGCCTGGCAGTGTTCTGGGCAGGAGTGGGGAAGAAGTTTCCTTCCCATTATGGGCCATAGTTTGCCTCTGGTCTGATTTTTAGTTCAGGTTTAATCTACAAAGAAAATATGTGCTGGGCTGGCTCAGGCTCAAGCCAACACCAAAGCCCCAAGCCAATGCCAGCACACCGTCACCAGACTAGAGGCATGCTCATGTAGGGGCCTGGATCCCTGGTGGTGGAGTCCTGTGACCACAGGGATAAAATGGACTGAGATGACAGTGAGCGATGGCTCCACTGTAGAGCTGTCTCCATCAGGGTGTCTGCTTTTTTCATCACAAAGGAGATAATATGCAAAGCATTTGCTTTTTCTGGTGCAAAGCAGAAACTAGCACTTGAAACCTTCTGACATGCAGACTTAATGGTGCCAGTTGCTTTGTGGCTGCTTAGTAAATATTTATTCAGAAAACTGCGAGGCCAAGAAATATGTCTGTTTAGTTGCCTGTGTTCTCATTGCAGAAACTTCTATTGCATTTCTGCTGTTGACTGGGAAGAAGATTCCAGAAAAAACAGGCCCATCTCTAAGTAAATCTAGCAGGAGAAGCAGTAACTTAAGACAGGCAAAGCTGAAATCAGAATAAAAGAATCCATCCGACAGGAACTCACGAAGTTTTGGGAAGAGCTAGAGGAGCTACTCTGAGGGAGATTTTCTCTTGTGTTAAAAACTATTTCTGACCCCTGGCTTAGCTAATCATTATTTTCAGTTACAAACAAAGGTTATCCAAGGCTGTGGAGGTTGTCCAGATCTGTGACTTCACAGTCTAAGAGGAAATCCATCCTGCATGTGACATGGAACTTAGTGTTCATTCACACTACCTGGCCCTCTGAAACGTTAGTAGAATTTCACCCAAAAGGGAAGTTTACAGCTCCTTATCATGATACGTGCCAACATGTATCAGTCAGGGTCCAGCCAGAGACAGAACCCACACCTGGTATTTCAACAGAAGGAATTACTATACTAACAATTCACATTTGCACAGAACTTACAGTTTAGAGAGCACTTTTCTTCTATTTAGCCCCATTTAAAATTATTGCAAAATTGAGATGACATGGACAGAACATTTTTTTCTTTATGTAACTAAGTAGATAGCTAATTATTCAACAACTTTTTTGCATGTGTGTGAAAAGCTATGCATATGCATGAAAAATCTCAAATGGCACAAAAGGGTAAACAATAAAAAGAAATTCTCCCTGTTACCTCTGATTCCTAGTTCTTTTCTCCAAAATTTTGTTCTCTTCCAGTAACTTTCTTTGCATGTATGAGTACACACACACACACACTATATATATATATATATATACATAGTTATAGGTATTTCCACTAAATAGTTAAAATTAATATAATTCCTTATAATAAACACATATATAATTTTGTATAACTACATCAAAGATTGTGTCACATTAGGTCTTTTTTTCCTTTTTATTTATTGGTGTGGCCTCCTTTTCCATTCCTCATTCATTCATTTATTTAGAAAATGTTTACTGAGAAGCTACTATGTTTCAGGCACTGTGTTAGGATGTGGGGATACACCAGAGAGGAAAACAGCTCAGCACCACAGTGCCGACGTCTTCTCTCCTTTTTCCAGGACAGATGTGGCATTTTCAGGCCCAGATGGGGTATCTCCAGCAACCCTTCACAGCTCATGGCATGGTGTGGGGGCTCCCTTCTATTTTCCTTTTTTGCAAGAATGTGTCGCTTTGCCATTTGTCCCTGGGCCTCCCAACCACTAGGATCCGGGTCTAGTTACTGTTCTTCTATGAGCCATTTGGCTTTTGTTTTTGCCCCTCCAGTTGAGCTGGGCATCCTTCTTTCATTGTTGGTGTCTGTGAATTTCTTTTCTTGCTTTCTAATTCATCTGTGTATTGAAAAACTTTATTTCGAGGAGTTTGTGCATTTTTTTCTAGGATTTCTATATGCTGATGGCTGAGGTGGGAGTGAGGAGGTCCTTCCATGATACGTCACTTTGCCATGGTGACTCAAAGTGCCCAGGAGTGTTTTGACAGATGCTGGGAGAGACTGATAGTGAGAGAGGTATGCAGAGGGAATGGAAAGGTGTTTTGCTGGGCACTAAATATGTGATCCTTGGCCAGGTATTGTGGCTCATGCCTGTAATCTCAGAACTTTGGGAGGCTGAGGCAGGTGGGTCATGAGGTCAGGAGTTCAAGACCAGGCTGGCCAAAATGGTGAAACCCTGTCTCTACTAGAAAGACAAAAATTAGCCAGGCATGGTGGCATGTGCCTATAGTCCCAGCTACTCAGTAGGCTGAGGCAGGAGAATTGCTTGAACCCAGGAGGCAGAGGTTGCAGTGAGCTGAGATCATGCCACTGTACTCTAGCCTGGTGACAGACCAAGAGTCTGTCTCAAAAAAAAAAAAAAAAAAAAAAAAAAAAAGTGATCCTCTACTTTCCACAGAGAATGGTTTAAATTGTTTTTTTTTTTAAATTAATTTTGTTTATTAAGCTATATTTTAATACAATTCCATGCACAAAATGGAGTCACACATTGGCTTTAGTTATATTTGAAATATACCTTTAAATTTCGGGTGATGGAGATGGCGATTTTATTCATCTCAGTGTTTGCCATAGAGTAGATCCTCAATACATATTGTGGAACAAATGTATGAATTCATGGATGAATGAATGAGTATTAATTTGTTAGGATAAAAATCCTGCAATTGGTATTTTCCATCCTTAATAATTTGACAACTCTGATGATTGGAGGAGATGCTGTAACATTGATCATCGACTGCAAATTAAGTTAGTGATAAACAATGGCCTTCCTGATGGAGCACAGGGGAGATATGAATGGCAAAACTAGAAAGAAGGAGCTTGAAGAGAAGTACCAGCTCTTCAGGGAACAAGACATATACTGGGGAGAATGCTTCACCATCTGAAGCTCACACCACACTGGCCCAGTGGACAGCTGTGCACTCTGCTCGTGCTTGGGTGTGGCTGAGGGGAAGGCATGTCTGCAGAATGGAAGGAGGACAGCTGTGTTTCATAAGAACTAAAGCATTTTAGACGGCATGGGGAGGTATATATTTTCACGTTGAAGGGAAGAGGGGAAAACAGCAAAGTCCCTCCCACAGAGCATTAGGCTGCCTTGCAGAAAGCCATGGCAGAGAAGCGGACCTCTCCTTGCTCACGCTCGGTGAATTCTCTGCAGACCTTGGCAGCATCCTGCAGCGGGATATCTTCCGAACTGGCACCGTAGTTCACTGGAAAAGGCATTCGTCCATCAAGTTCATAGAGGTGGCCATCCCTGTTGTTAAACAAAATAAAATGGAAATTCACTTTGCCATCTACCCGACATTGGCCTTCCTGTGCCACGGCATCATGGGCTGCCTGTATGGCCTCATTCTTTCCAAAGCATTTTGCTCTGTCAGGGGACAGTTTCTCTGTTTCAGAAAGAAACTGTTTCAGGACTGATCCATCCTCAGATCCCAGTTTAACTTGATTATTGGCCACTGCGTGTATAAGTCCAATTGTGCCACAGGAGTTCCCAATGGTCTGCTTCATGAAATATACTTTAGGACTAATTTCTCGTCCCTTCAGCTCTTCAATCTGTTTTTCCTGAAGTTCTCATGCTGGGCTGTGAGGGGAAACAGCAGCAGCAGTCTGCAGGCAGGTGCTGGCACCTGGTGTCTTAGTCCATTTGTGCTCCTATAAAAGGATACCTGAAGCTGGGTAATTTATAAAGGAAAGAGGTTGATTTGGCCTGTGGTTCGACAGGTTCTGCAAGAAGTATGGCACCAGCATCTACATCTGGTCAGGGCATCAGAGGCCTCCACTTGTGGCAGAAGGCAAAGGGGAGTCTGCCACATGGTGAGACCAGGAAGCCAAAGGAAAGGAGAGAGATGTCAGACCCTTTTTAACAATCAGCTCCTCCAGGAACAAATAGAACAAAACTCTATTCACTCATTATCAGAAGGACAGCAATAAGCCATTTACGAGGGATTCTGCCCCCATGACCCGAACCCCTCCCACCAGGCCCCACCTCCAACACTGGGGATTACACTTCACTGTGAGGCTGGGCCAGTCAAAGAAGCTCTGGAAGTGACAAGCCGTAGCATCAAGGAAGTGACAAATGGAAGGCAACTTAAAAAAAGAGAAAGAAAGAAAAAAAAAGAGAGAAAGAAATGGCATTGATCACCTTATGGTAGAAATGCTTTATCGTCTCTGGAGAAAATTCAAGTCGAATTTTAAGAGTGTGAAGAAAGGAACTGTGGCTTTCTCAGCCCACACTGCCTACCAGGTATAGTGACAGATTTGCCTCAGGGATGTTTTCATGCTGACAGGGAAAGATGCCATTACCAGGGAGGTCGCAGGCCAGCTGGACAGCGGCGATAATGGACTGAATAGCAGGTTCTTCAGAGCAGGAAACCAACTCAGAAGAAATTTAAACTTAGGGGTTGTGGGAAAATTTCAAAAGAGGCCTTTGATTCCAAAGAGGAGAGAGAGCATGATAATCACATGAAGTTGGTGAGGAAGAATGTCAGTGAAGCAGGTGGGAGATTAAAAGCTAAATCAACAGCAGTTTTCAGTGCACTGGGATCAGAGAGGAAGCCCTGGACAATGGGTGGAGATTGGTGGATCACACTTGGGAGGAGGGTGGGTGATATGATTTGGCTGTGTCCCCACCCAAATCTCATCTTGATTATAGCATCCCTTATTCCATGTGTTGTGGGAGGGACCTGGTGGGAGGTAATTGAATCATGGGGGTGGGTCTTTCCCATGCTGTTCTCGTGATAGTGAATAAGTCTCACGTGATCTGATAGTTTTATAGCTGGGAGTTTCCCAGCACACATCCTCTTGTCTGCTGCCATGTAAGATGTGTCCTGCTTCCCCTTCCCTTTCTGTCATGATTTTGAGGCCTCCCCAGCCATGTGGAACTGTGAGTCAATGAAACCTCTTTCCTTTATAAATTACCCAGTCTTGAGTATGCCTTATTAGCAGCATGAGAACAGACTAAAACAGCAGGAAGAGGAAACTTGGGAAGAAGGGACCCCAAAGTGTGCAAAAGAAGAAGAGAATGGTAAGTCCACAGCTGGACTCAGAGGCTATTGATAAAGGAGGCAGAATGATTCCAATCTGTTCTTCCATCCTCTCTCTCAAGGATATGGTCTTCACACTGAAAAGGGCAGAACAGAGTGTGTGAAAAGGCAACTGTAGCCAAATAAAATTCAGAAAATAGTGATAACCAGGCCCAGATGAATGATCTTCCAGAGATTACAGGAGCTAGAACTATATGAAGCTGTTGTCAATCATACATGAGAAATTGTAGAAAATTGGTGCTGGCCAGCAGATTGGAGCTGAGTCAACATGATTTCCAGCAGAGTGAAGTCTTTATGTGAATTAGAAAAAGGCGCCCCTTCATCAAGATGCATTTCTTCCATCTGTTGGGAAATTATCATAATATACAGATTTAAAAGAATAGGATACTTCATGGCCACCTGCCGGAAGAGTCTTATAATATTCAATGCTCAAATCTATGCTATCTGCTATGCACAGTCCCTCCTAATATGTGGGCACTTTTAAATATATAGCACCTGCATACCCTGCATGGTGCTTCTGAGTTTCAGGACAGGAAAAGGATGGGTTACAGAAATTACAGAATAGGGCCAGGCATGGTGGCTCATGCCTGCAATACCAGCACTTTGGGAGGCCAAGGTGGGTGGATCTCCTGAGGTCAGGAGTTTGAGACCAGCCTGGCCAACATGGTGAAACCCTGTCTCTACTAAAAATACAGCAAGTTAGCCAGGCATGGTGGTGCATGCCTTTAACCCCAGCTACTCAGGAAGCTGAGGCAAGAGAATTGCTTGAACATGGGAGATGGAAGTTGCAGTGAGCCAAAATTGTGCCACTGGACACACTAGGTCTGGGTGACCTAGTGAGTTTCTGTCTCCAAAAAAAAAAAAAAAAAAAAAAGAAAAAGAAAAAGAAAAGGAATTATAGACTAGGAACTTAATGTTGAGCCTTAGAAAAATTGAACACTCCACAATCCTACTTGGGATAATTTAGAAAATAATGTGTCTATATGAGATTTCATCAAGAATGTTGATTAATGGAGAAGAGTTAACTTGGAGAGAGATTTCTAGGGCAGATGATAGTGCTCTTTGCTTAGTTCTGCCTTCTTTAGCAACCTCTAGACAGCATGGGCCTCAAATTTTCAGATGCAATACCAGGAGTGGGTAGAGGTTGGATAATAGAACTGAGTGCATAAAATGTTCACAGACTGAACTGATGGACTAATCTGTTAAAATTATATTTAATAGAGAAAATTTATATATCTCAGCCATTATACAGTGTCATGAGTATAGAACAAGGGAAGATATGGGTTAGTAGAAATGCTAATAAGAGAATTATGTTGCCAGGAGCCTCAATATAAATAACCAGTGAAAAGTGATCCCTATAAAGGTTTTTGGGGTCCTAGACCACATCAATGGAAATACAATTATTAGAATGATAGAGGTGAGGGCCCTATTCTACTTTTTTCAGCTCAGAACATGATTTTACATTTGATTCTGGGTTCCACACCTGAAGATAAATATAACTTTGGGGAGTAAATTGAAATGCTCATCTAAGAAAGGGAGAAAAATATAAATTACCTTTATATAGCAGTGTAAGGAATTGGAGATACTGGCTTTTGTGACAGGGAAAAATATAAAAGAAAAAGTTACTTGTAATTTATAACTTTCCCATTAAGTCTTCATGGTTGAACAGTCTTTTGTTGTGGAAAGTGAAGTGATTATTAGAATAATGGTCTCTGGGTTTCTGGGATTTGGGGAGAAAGCTAGACACCAAATAGAGAGCAGCCAAAAGGAAAAATGTGGAGGAGAAGGGATGGACTGGATGGGGATTAGTGGGCTGTGAATCTTTCCTCCACCACATCAATAAAATATATGTTCAAGTTGATACGCTTTCTTTTGCTTGGTGGAAGGTACTTGTTGCTGCAGGTTGGGATGTAGTGTTGAGTTCTGCTTCAAGATGGACTACCTTGGCCAGGTGTGCTGGTTCATGCCTATAATCCCAGCACTCTGGGAGGTCAGGGTGGGAGAATTGATTGAGCGCAGGAGCTTGGGATCAGCCTGAGCAACATGGCAGGATCCACCTCTACAAGAATTTTAAAAAATTAGCCAGGTGTGGTGGTGTGCGCCTGTAGTCCCAGCTACATGGGAGGCTGAGGAAGGAGGATTGTTTGAACCTAGGAGGTTGAGGCTTCAGTGGACCATGATGGTGCCATGGCCCTCCAGGCTGTGTGACAGAACAAGACCCTGTCTCAATGAAAAAAGAAAAAAAATGGACTAGTTCACTTTGGAAAGGAGAATTTTCATATGGGAATAATTTCAAAAGGCTTTCGATTGAAAGATTAATAAACAATCTATGTAAGCCAGTTGAGTAGAATTAAGATTTGTGAGCAAAAGTTCTAGAGGGGCAGGGTTGTTCTGTGGTGAAAAGGATGCTTTCTGAGAGGTAGTGAGCTCCTCATCCCTGAGTGGTTCAAACAGGCTAGATGATTTTTTTAGGAGATCATTTTTAGGAAGTATTAAATCTGAGAAAGGAATTAAAATCTCATTTAAACTTTTGATGTCTCTTCCCAACTTAAAAACATTGCAGTTGGTGGTTCTGATTTGCAGAGATGTAGTCTGTGGTTCTAATTTGCTACATTCACAGCCATTCTTTGTTCCTTCTTCCCTTTAGGCAGGCCAAACAAGCTCCACCCATTATGCTCGACTGATACATCTTCTCTATATTGAGATGAAATTCATGTAACATAAAAGCAATCATTTGAAAGTGAGCAATTCAGTGACATTTGACATATCCACAGTGTTGTGCACCTCCCACGTCTATCTAGTTCCAAAACACTTGCAGCACCTGGACAGGAAACCCCATACCTGCTAAGCAGTTCCTCTCCTGAGTCTAAATCTACAAGTTTTCCTTTCGTCCCCTTTGTCATGCCATTTATTTGTGAAAGAAATATGGTAATTTCTACTGCAGAATTTCCTACATTCTGAATTTGGCTAGTTGCTTCCTATGGTGTTTAACTTGTTTTTCTATTCTTCTGTCTCCTATATTTTCTATAGACTGGTAGTTATGTCTGGCGATCTAGTTGGATCCAGAGTCAGCAGTGACTTTGGCAAGGATAATTCACAGATTTTGCTGCACAGCTCCTAGGCCTTACATTGACACACACAATGTCCTGTTTTTTCAATTTTTGTGTTATACCGAGATGAGCAATGAGTGCAAGAGCTGTCAGCCTGATTCATTCTTCATAAGTTTTCCCACCCACCACCTGTTTATTCAATGATTGTTCATCAATGATTGCTTAAAGTTCTAGAGGGGAAGAAGGAACCCTAAAGTGCGTAAAAGAAGAGAATTAGCTCTAAGGATTATTCCATTAGGGATTGCTAAGTGGCATTTCTATCATTTCTTCTGTACATGTTATCTGGAGTTATATATATATATATATATATATATATATATATATATATATATATAAAATGCCTTTATTGGCCTGGCGCAGTAGCTCATGCCTGTAATCCTAGCACTTTGGGAGGTTAAGGGAGGTGGGTTGCTGGAGCTCAGGAGTTTGAGACCAGCCTGGACAATA